GACGAGGAGGACAGCGACGAAGAAGAAAAAAGATTCAAACTGACAAAAATGATAGAAATAATGCTACACAACGGCGCTACAGTAGCAGATAGAATATTGAACTTATCACATAGCGCAATTGCAACAACAATAAATATCGCAGATTTAGTTAATCAAATAACAGCAGGAAATGCACAAGGTAGCAGTAGCAATTCATCAAATGAAGCTATTAGTGTTCATAGTTCGCCACCTATTACTGCTCATAGTTCTTCATCCGAAAGTCCAACAGAAATACCAGCACCAACTGAAGACGAAGAAGAAGAAGACGGAGAAGAAAAACAAAAATATAATTTTGAAAAATTAAAATCTAAATAATATTATATATAATGGGTTCAAGTAAATCAAAACCAGTAGAAATTGATGATGAAGAGGCTATTAAAGTAATAAAAGATATAGATGTAAATACGATAAGTGAAATGTCAAGAATTGATATTCTACAAATAAATTCATTGAAAGCAATAATAAATAAATTAGAAAAAGTTAATGAATGTAAAAAAGATAAAACATATTATAAATTTCCTGCCTTAAATTTATGTAGCTATTCCTTATTCTAAATTGATAATATTAACATACATTAATATTATTAATTACTATCATAATCTGTCATTTCATCTTCTGGTAATTTTGTTGAGGCATTGCTACACATATCATCTATTAAATCTTCTTCATCAACAAAGTTATTTTGAAATCTTAATAATTCCTCGTCTGTTGGTCGTCTTTTTAACACTTTATAAAGTTTATGTATCCAAGAATTAGTATGAAAATTGTAATTACCTCTACGATAAAATCCACCACATCTACATAGTTTCATTGGCATATTATTATATTATATTAAAATAGAATATCTTTATTCATCATTTGTAATTTGAAATGCCTGTTCAAAACGGATAAAAAACATGTCATTCACATTCTTAGCATTCATATTCACGTAGAAGAAACTATAAGGTGCGTCACTAACGGCTTGATGATACATATCTAATAATTGCTGTTTGTTAAGAATGGCGCTATTTTCTTCAATAAAACTCATTAGTTCACTGGCATTTTTCAACCTAAAAATATATAATGAACTGGCATTTAAACGAATGATAGGCGCCAACACATTATATTTCTGTGTTGAACAAATTACGCTTACTGCATCGTGCCTACCTCTTGTAAATAATCCATGTAATAATTTACTATATCTAACAAATTTAGGATCGTCGGCATGATCGTCTATAACGGTTAATATTGAATGAAATGCAATTTCTTTATCTTTTTAGATTTCATATAATTAATTATTTTCTTCTGTCTTTCAATTACATTTTCTAAATCACTTGGAATATAATTATCAAAATATATTTGTTCTTTTTCATCATCTACATGTAGTTCATCCCTAATATATTTCTTTACTTCTGTAAAAGTTGGGTCATTATGAACGCTGGGTGAAAATATAAATATTCTTGCAAATGAATTTCTATAAACATTTAAAATAAGATTCTGAACTAAAACTGTTTTGCCTCCCGTCGAACTCGCAACTATAATACTTCTAAATGGTAATTTTGGCACGTGCTCATATTTAGATTGTTTGAATTCATATTCAGTTATGTTTATTGGTTTTATTATTGGGACATCTGACATAATAAAATAATATTAAAGTTATTTAGAAATTATTTTATATTTATTATTTTATATGAATAGAAGCTATTCGGATTATATTGATATAATAGATGAAGTAGAGAATTTAGAACAAGTTGTTATAACTGATAATAGATGCAAGAAAATATGCTATTTTGTTTTAGAAATAATTAAGTTTGTGATACAATATATCAAAAATAAAAATGTAAATATTAATATAAATGGGAAGAAAGAAAAAGAATAAGACTGAACCAGTTGTTTCTTCATCAGTTGAAGAAAAAGAAGAAGTTGTTAAAGAAACATCAGTTATTGAGTTTGCTTGTCCGATGTGTAAAAAGATGTTAGAAATGAAGAATGAATTAGAAATACAAAAGAAAGGAAATTGTAAATGCTCGTGTATTCCGACAAGTTTCAAACTAAGTAAGAATGATAAGAAAATGAATATTGATAAAACTAAAGACAGTATCAACTTAGAAACAGATGTTCATAATATTGCTATACGCTTTGGGAGGGGAGTTACTCCATCCGATAATGGCGATAAGGAAACACAGGAAACGATACGCGAAATGATGAAAAAATAAGAATTAAAATTATTTCTATTATTATTTATAATGCAAGATGTTATAAATAATATTCGTAAATTCATTGATGTAAAAGAATTGAAATTAAATAATTTTATTGAAGAATATAACGAAAATGATATATTAATTAATTTTGTTAATGACTTTAGAAATAGTAAAATTGATTTTAACATGTTTTATAATTCTATTAATTATGCTGATTTATTTGAACAATCAGATTTAAAATTTTATTGTAAAAGAATATAATATTCATATACTTTAAGATTTATTGCTAATTCTGATAATAAAAATGCTATTCAGTTTTATGAAATTACATTGAGAAAAATGAATAATATTTACAAAAATAGTATCATTAATGTTGTTAATGTGTTTGAATGCATTAAATGTTTAATAATTTATATTACAGATAATATTGAAAAGTTTCATAAATATTCAAAATTTAGAAAAACTATTATTTGTAATTTAATTGGTAAATTGAATAACAATTTAACGAGTTACACAATAACTAATTTTGAATTGACTTATAATGATATATGATTTTGTAAAATAAAAGTTTAGTTTTAAAAGTTTTATTTTATAATATAATATATATATTTACATGGATGAAGGATTAGAAAAGATTGTTAAAAAACTGAACAAGGTTTTAGAACAGAATAAGAATATTTTAGAAATCTTGCAAGAAATGGAAAAGAAGAAACCTTTAACAAACAGTTATCAAAGTAAAGAAGTAGATAGAACCAATGGTGAATATAAAAATAAAAGAAATATTTATTTAAACAAACTTAATAACAAAGAAATTAAAGAACCGAAGGCTTCAACTATGACATTTTATCAAATTGACTATGATGAAGATACGGGGGTTTATTCATAGATAATAATCCGACGACAAAACAGCATGTTTTTCTTGAAATTAGGTGGGGTTCCCCCTTTTTTTGGGCGACAGTTTATTTATATTATGTTATTATAATATAAATTAACATTGTAAAACTTTATAACCTTTCATTATACCATAGTTATACTCTATAAAGTTTGTTTTTTTGTTTTTTTTAATGAATGAACCTAACCTTGCCCATAATTTTCTACAAAATTTATGATAAAAATATTGTAAGATAATTTATCATAATTTTTGAAATAATATTTTTGAAAATGTATTTTTTGAAAATTTAATTTTTGAAAAGTTACTTTTTTTTGAAAATATTATTTTTTTTTGAGAAATATTATTTTTTGAAGATATTATTTTTGAAAATATTATTTTTTTTGAGAAATATTATTTTTTTGAACAATATTATGTTTGATTTTTTTTATGAATGAGCTTAACCTTGCCCATGCATCCTACCATCAATAACCATATCATATGAACCACCCTATACTCCTATTTCCACTCAAGCATCCTAACAATGACAAGAATGATGGAATAGAAAATGAGAAAATGTGACTTTTTTGATGGATTTTGAGGTTGAGACTGTTATGAAATGTTTTGAGTGGAAATATGCATAATGAATAAGGATGACGATTTGAATAGTGAAAAAATGGTTGAAAAATGCTGTTCTTGCGTAGAGGGGGGGCTACGCTAGGATACCATAAAAAGATGGGCAAGGCCCACCCTAACTCTGAAGCCCCTCCCGGTCGTCAGTTTGTGTGCGGGTTCTCGTTTTTCCGCTTCGCGTTGTTGAACTCGCTGAATTTCTGCGCGTTTGCTGCAGGACCGTCTCGAAACGGGTCGCGCGTTGCACAACTACAACTCAGCTGTCGCGGCACATTAGGTCGATTTTTTGCGTTTAACGCTCTTGTTCCGGTCGTGATCCGTCTGATCCGTCAGTTTCGGTCGTGATCCGTCAGTTTGCGGTCGTGATCCGTCAGTTTACGATCGTGATCCGTCAGTTTACGGTCGTGATCCGTCAGTTTACGGTCGCGATCCGTCAGTTTACGGTCGTGATCCGTCAGTTTCTGTCGTGATCCGTCAGTTTACGGTCGTGATCCGTCAGTTTAGGTCATCCGTCAGTTTACGGTCGTGATGCGTCAGTTTAAGGTCGTGATCCGTCCGTTGTCGTCAGTTTACGGTCGTGATCCGTCAGCTTCCGTCCGTTTTCGTCAGCTTGCGGTCGTGATCTGTCAGCTTCTGTCCGTTTTCGTCAGTTTCGTATCATGTCGCTGCAGATGTTGCTTTAAGTGTAATTATCAAGCTTCACGTGGAAGCGTTTGAGCCCAGCCTGGAGCAACGCTTTTGATGCAAGCTGACGCGCCCTTGAGCAAAAGCTCTTGTTCTTTGGCCTTGGGATGCGCTTGTTGCTTTCCAGTCGGATGGGCGATCTATAAAGCTTACCAGTTTCAGGGCCAGTGGACAGGCGCACTTATCACGTTGCTTGCCAAGAATGCCAACTGCAAGCCGCCTCGCAGCAGTGTGGGTCTGCTCTTCAACAAGCTTTTCTGAGCGCCACGCTCAACAAATAGCATGAAACAATGCGCACAAGTTGCCAATCATTTCCTCCGCACTTCTTCAAATGGTTCGGTACTGCATCTGCGCACTTAGGCACAAGGAGGAATGCCTCGGTGAAACACCTCCCTTACGCTTCAAGAGTCAAGCAAAAATGCACTGCAACGAAACAACTGTGCCTGCGACTGTACTCTTTGTCACAGCACGAGGTGAAACGTTGTGCCCCAGCATTGCCTCAGCCGAGAATAGCAAGTGACCACAGCTAGCAGTAGCCTGGCAACGACGCAAGCTCACAAGTGTAGAGCACTGCTGCGCTGCTGAGGTGCCTCAAACTATGCGGCTCCAGCAGCTCCAGCTGGTAACATGAATCCGTAGCAGTCTGCCCTGACAGCTGGGCGACGGCGCCAACCCAAAGTTGAAAGGCATCGGTCCGAGCGCTCGGCTCATCTGTGTCGCGCAGACTTGCTGACATCTTGGCTTCCTTGACCCAGCGGCCGTCCTGCAAAGTCAAGCTGAGACACGGTAAGGGGTGAGAGAATGGAACAAATGGGTGCCCGGGTGTCATGCAAAGCTCTCCTGCCGGCTGTATATGTCCAGTTCATCTGCATCACAAGACACTGTATTTGGCTTCTTCTGCTTGATGGCCTCAAGCTATCAGAGCATGACAACGGTCTCAAACCAGAACGGACAAAGAGCCAAAGCAAACGGCTTCTGAGCGCACGGCTTCTTTAAGATCATCCACCTGACATCCCCGCAAAGCATGAAGCAGCATTTCCGAAGGCGAAACAAGCTGAAGTAGATCCTTCGCAAAGTGGCGCAGCTGAGGCGTGGGCATTTGAAACACTAGCAGTGATTTTGAATGCGTTGCCGACGATCTCAAAGTCCTTGCCATCCTCGCAATGCACAAGCACTGCAATCCAGTTCACACCCATCCGCTTAACCAGTGGCTCCGCGATTTTCACAAACGCAGTGGATTTTGGAGGTAGGGGCTTTGGAAATGCTTCTTTCCTGCGCGTCACAAAAGGGAATGGACATTGAATAAGAAAGGGCATGGCAGCAAAACATACAAAGTACTTCGTCTTGGAAGATATCTTTCAACAAATCCTGAGCAATAAACAACCCTGCAATCTATCCCCGCGACAAAAGAACACCGCATGACAAGGCGTTGTCTTGCACCACCAACTTGCCCGCTGTCAATCTCTCGACTTTCGGAAGTCCACATGCGCAGTGTCAAACCTTGTAGGACTGGCAAACAAGATCCGAACAGAATCAACCGCTTGTCTTTGAGAATGCACTTCAACATGGACTTGCGTTGCCAATGAACTCCTTGCCGTCCTCGCAAGGCACAAGCCCTGCAACGCAGTTCCCATCCGTTTAACCAATGGACCAATGGCTACAAACGCCTTTGATTTTGGAGGTGGGCGACATTTCGAGAGTTCTTCTGAGAAGGAAGTCGACCCTTTGACAGCTTTCTCTCGAACATGAACGCAGGGCAGGCAAGACTGCACACAGCTGCTGGTAAGGTCCAGGCAGGGCTTCCCAGCTGACAGACCCACACTGCTGGGGGTGGTTGCGGGGCGGCACTGCCTTGCAGGCGGCAATCTGAGCAAGCAACGTGAGAAGTGCGCCTGTGTGTGAAACTGGTGAAGAGACCGTCGATATGATTCCACACAACACAACCTCTTGCTTTCCTTTCAAATCTTTCAAGAATAGAATCCTATCCAAACCTTGTTTTTTGCAGTCACATCGTTCTAAGCCAAGTCACCTTTCATCAGCTCCAGCTGCAATTCCTCATAACGTCTTGGGGAAAGTACCTTGCCCAGTGAGCGAAGAACTGCCTGGCGAAGTCTTAAATCTCCGCTCCAACCGAGCACATGTCTTTGCACATCCAAATTGAACTCACGAAGATGCCTCTGCAAGATCTCCGCGGTGATGCCCGGGGAGAATATATCCACGGACAAGCTCGGAATCGACAGCGTCGGATCGTGGGCATGAAGTCTGCCTGCCGTGAACTTGATGGTTTCGCTCATCTTCCTGATGAACTCCTGTAGCACCTCTGCTCTTGGTTTGGAATTCCCAAAGGAAGAACCTGCAAAATCGTGCCAGTAGAACGTGACATCCTGTCCTTCCGGCTGCTGCATCAGCACGTTGCCGATGTGGCAATCGTGCCAAATCCTTGCATGTGCCAGAGCAGTGAGGTCTTGCACATAGCCAATGAGGAATTGGAGCAGGTCTTGCAGCGGGAGAGCGCTAAGCTCCACGGCCACAACCCGTTGCATCACTGACACCTGCACGATGAATTCATCAGCTTTGTGTTCGAGTTTCTGATGATCTGGTCCGTCTTGGCTCAGTTGATACAGTGGCAGGGACACATGCATGCAGAATTGGCATTCTGCTGCAGGCGACGCAACTTCAAAGACAAGTCGCGTCTTCCAAAACAAGTGCTCCCGCCAAGTGTGTTCCTGCAGAATCTCTTCCTTTGCGATCCAACGTCTGAGGTACCGATTATCATTAGCGAATCCATAAGCCAAGGCCTGGAATACGAAACGTTCCTCACCAGAATAAAATGGCAGGTCTTTCAAGATTGTGAAAGCCTCCATTCGGTTGAAGAAAAGTGGCTGGCTGCCATTGTCGACATGGGATGGGAGTTGAAAGCTTGTTCTCACTACAATGTCTGTAGCAGGGTTGCACTTCGCTGTTGCAATTGTATTCCCGCCTCCTGCTGTGCCCCGCCCGTCAAACTCACACTTGAAGTAGGGCCGAAGGGTTTGGCAGGTGCCTGGGCTGCAATCCGGGCGCCCAGAGACGCAGAAGGCAAGGGCAATGGCGACAAGCTCCGGTCTCAACATTTGGAATCAGCAACTACAGGATATGTTACATGCCCTAGGTCCAAGCCATATCATAGAGTTGCAGAAGTGTTGCCTTTTCCATCATTGAGAGGGCTACAAGTCAGCAAGTAGCATGGATGTTATACAGTCTCTGAAAGTTGTCCTCACCTTGAGCTGCAACACGCTGCAACTATCTCACGTGGACACGCAATGGTAATGCAGTTGGACGTTGCAGAGTGATTGACATCTCTCTAAAAAGAATGGTTCCGTTCTGAGAAACAACAAAACCTGCTTCTGCCGTGGATTGTTGTTACCAATTTTCGGAAAATCGGCCACCGACTTTGGGAAAATCAGCCACCGATTTCGGGTCTACCACCGATTTTGGGAAATATGCCACCGATTTTGAGGAAATCTGTCACCGATTTAGGCGAAATCTGACACCGACTTTGGGGAAACCAGCCACCGACTTTGGTTTTGGGAAACGCATGCTCCGTTTTTGGGATGAGCAGGCTCCGTTTGGTGAGAAATATGCTCCTTTTTTGGGAAAAGCATGCTCCGTTTTTGGGATGAGAGGCTCCGTTTTTGGGATGAGCAGGCTCCGTTTAGTGAGAAACATGCTCCGTTTTTGGGAAAAGCACGCTCCGTTTTTGGGATGAGCAGGCTCCGCTTGGCGAGAAACATGCACCGTTTTGGAAAACGCATGCTCCGTTTTTGGGATGAACAGGCTCCGTTTGGTGAGAAACATGCTCCGTTTTTGGGAAACGCATGCTCCGTTTTTGGGATGAGCAGGCTCCGTTTGGTGAGAAACATGCTCCGTTAGAATCTTGATCACTGCTTCAATCCGAAAGGGAACATGCAGTCCAAGATAAAAGGGTGCGACCGACAAACATGCGCGCACACTCTTTTTCTTTATAAGGCGTTGCTTGGAAGTTGAGGCTCAGAGGTGCAGGGGGAAAGACATCGCGTGTCCTTTCCCCGCATCTGCACCCCTCTGCGGAGCCTCCTCATATGCTTTTGTGGTCAACAATGCGTGTTCGACCAGGCGCCAGGTGTGTTACCTGTGAGGCGTGAAACAATCGAAGGCATTGATGGCGGCAGGATGCAATGCGTGCATCCGGCTGGTGTGCAATGCGGCACACGGTGCCAGGTTGAGACATGTCGAAACAGTCATATGGCTGCTGGATGCAATGCGTGCATCCGGATTATGTGCAATGGGTGCCAGGCTGAGGCCCGTCAGTAGCTACAGCACGCGGGGCTGGCTGTGCACCGAGCCTTTTGGGCGGCAGCTGCGGCTGGGCCCTGGCAGAAATATTGCGTGCCATCGCTGGTGCGAAATGCGGCTCACGGTGCTAAATTGAATTTTGTGACCTCTGCAGATAGGTCATGGTATGCACCGTACCTCTGGGGCACCAGCTGCGGCTGGGCCCAGGGAAGTTCACCTGAGTGTTGACAGGGTGGGAGGGCGGGCGCAAAAAAGTGAGGGGTAACCCTCACGCAAGTCCTTTAGGTGGCTTGAAGCAGAAAACGGCAACGCGTCCGAAGATTCGATCAAGATTAAAACATAAGGGAAAATAAAACCGTAAACGTTAGAATCTTGATCACTGCTTCAATCCGAAAGGGAACATGCAGTCCAAGATAGAAGGGTGCGACCGACAAACATGTGCGCACACTCTTTTTCTTTATAAGGCGTTGCTTGGAAGTTGAGGCTCAGAGGTGCAGGGGGAAAGACATCGCGTGTCCTTTCCCCGCATCTGCACCCCTCTGCGGAGCCTCCCCTGCTGCGCCACAGCTTCTCAGGAAAGTGGGGCTCCTTCGCACGGCAGCAGCAGCAGCCACTGCCCCCGAAGCTGCGTGCGGCGGCTGCAGCTGCCACCGTCCAACGTGACCGTGCGGCGCCAGGACGCGCTGGCCTATCTGCGAGCGCTGCCCTGCCCAGCGCCCCAGCAAAACCAGCTGCATCTACGCGGACTCCCTACATTTTCCCCGGTCGTGTCATGAACTACTGCGGCACGAAGGGGCAGGGCCACGACCTGGCCTTCCACTCGTAGCTCCGAGACGCTCTTTGCAAGCGCCTGCCATTCGTCGTGAGCGCCCGGAAGCTCTACAGCAAGGCCGACTCCATCACGAGCCTGAGGTCGGGCAAGAACAGTTCCAAGCCCGAGCTGCTCGTGCTGCATCGGGGCAATCCTGTTGCCGGCGCAGGATTGACGGAGTACGTCGCAACCCAAGGGTAACCCACGCTCACATGCAGCAAACGAGGCCAAAGAGAATGAGTCACCGCTGCGCCATTAGTGCCAAGAAGCAGACTCGAAATCTTTGGTTCCGAAGACAAAGCCGTATCCATTTTGCCACAGGGCCTGGCAAGCAAAAGCGCGCCGGAGAAAAGTCAGGTTTTGAGCCCAACACGCCAACCACTGCGCTACTTTGACTGGCAAGAAGACTGGAGAGCACCCAGGGAGCACCTGCGCCCAAGAAGGCACTTGGGCATGAGCAGAAGGCTTTTCGAGCCAGAAACGCACTTATAAGGCCAGAAACAGCGCTTTAAGCCCGGGCAACACGAACTTTTCCGAGACGCACAGAATGCGGCTAGGACCGGTTTTGCCTGCATATTGAAGCAAGCTGAAGACCCTCGCAGAAGTGCAATCAGAAGGGCTGTGGCCGCACCGCGCGAGGTAAAAAAACACCGCAATATTTTCGCAGAATCCACAAATGCTGAATGATAAGCTCCAAGGATGCGCTGTAAGAGGTTTTAGATTTCACAAAAAACAGAGAGAGCCTCCTGCGCCAGCGCATGTGAGCTTCCAGCTGCCCTGCGAGGAGGACGTGCTGCCGAGCGCCTTTGAGGACAAGCCGCTCTGCGTGCCCCACCAGCTGGCCGAGCTGCTGCAGCTGAGCGTGGAGGAGGTGTGCGCCGACCGCCATGCTGCGCCACGACTGGAGGCGCCTCGGCATCTCCGCCCGGGTCGCGCCCAGCGAGGCCTCGGCTTGTTAACCCCGCTGCGCCACCTGCTCCTCCGTCAGGTGGGCGGGGTGCCTCGTCATGGCCCCGCCCAGCTCGTTCACCGGCAGCCAGTCCCTGCGCTCGTAGCCCGCCCCCGCATGCCTCGGATGATCACCGGCACGTGGACCAGGTACTCGTAATACTTGTCACGGAAGAAGCCCTTCCCCAGCTTGGCCAGCCGGTGCTCCCCGCCCTGCGCGAGCTTCTTCCGCCCGTTGCGCAGCAGGATGTTGTCGTTCGGGCCCTCCCGGATCAGCGGCTGGTTGTAGTCGAAGTCCGCACAGGCCCAGGTGCGAGTAGTAGCGCTGCCCCGCCCGGGTCAGCTGCCCGTCCGCGCGCGCCCCTGAGGCCTGCTCCAGAGCCTGCTCCTTCAGCAAGGCGTTGTGCATCCTCGCTTGCACTTCGGCCAACAGGTTGGTGAGGCAATACATGCCTGCGCTCACCGAGGCGGCGGCAAAGCAGAAACTCCAACTTCTACCTGGAGATCCTCAACATGTAAGTCAACACTGCTTATGGTGCTGCCCATGAATTAATTTGTACGTCTCGCACCTGCCCGGCATTGGCGCTGTAGCCAGCGTATGCCGGAGATTCTGGATGGCGCAAAGAGGTACACTGACACTGCTCATGGCTGTGTCGGTAGTCGCGGCGATGGGTGCCTCAGCCACAGCGCGGGCTCGGTCTTGGCGGCCCCATCCATGCCGAGCTTCCTCATCCGGCTCAGGCGTTGGCTGAGCCGGTGCGCGCAGGCCGTCGCGCATTTCGCCAGCTCACGGAAGACAGTTCCTCTCGAAGCCGATCCCTGGCGCCCTTCACCTTGTCAAAGGCGGTGCCTCTCGGAAGAGCGTCAGCCTCGCTCATGGCGGCGCGCAGGCGCTCGTGCGCGACCTGATCGACGCCCGCAGGGGCAGACATCGTCGGCGCGACGAGGGAGGCGGCGAAGGGCAACGTCGAACCAAAAAGCGGCTGCAGGCGGCAAGAGAAATTGTACACATGCCAAGTCGGCCGTCGTCGTGTCTAGAAGGGCACAAAAGAGATGCAACGGGGGTGTAAATGTTCAAGGTGGCGCGAGTCAGCTTCCAATCTCTACACAACAGTATCTCCACCCACCACTAGCCAGGCAAGTTTGCATTGGCTAGAACACGAACCATCAAACGCACATCTAAAAGCACCTCTGAGCAATATATTCGAGCACGGTCTCCGCCCCGCAATTATTTGCGCCCAACACGCTCACCGTGACCAACTCCGACTTCGCAGACGACCTCATTTTCACGAAGAACTGGGCGGGCTGGAGCAAGGTCCAACAACAGCGCGGCATCCAACAGCGGCCCGGAGCTGCGGCTGCTGAGCAACCAGAGCGCGCGGGTCTTCCTGGAGCGGGACGGCGGGGCGCACCAGTGCGAGCTCATCATGATCAACGACGAGGCGCTGGTCCAGACGAAGAGCCTCTCGACGCAGCTGTCCCTCACCACAAACCAGAGGAACCCCGGCTGCCTGGTGATCGCCGGCAACACGGGCAACGTGGTCTGCAACACCAGCTTCACCGACCTGTCGGACAGCCAGATCAAGACAGAGTGGGCAGGCAGACCCACTGGCGCTGGGCAGTCGGCTGCGGGGGCCGAACGACCGGCTGCAGGCAGACATCATCGACTTCAGCCAGAACACCCGAGGGAAGACCAGGTACGCCTGGTGGTCATGGACGCCTTTATCCGGCAAGCTGCCGTGGAGGCCAGGCCACCAAGCGGGCCACGCAGGAGCTGGTGGGGGATGACAAGAACTTCGTGGTCACGACCGACCTGGGCAGCGAATTCGCCACGCTGATCGCAACGCCACGGCCATAGTGGACTGGCCACGCGCGTGGCCCGCAAGGGCGGGCAGTGGAGCGACCACTCTGAGCGAGCCGCGGGGGCCTGCAACGCCCGGCCACACAAGACGGTATACGGCACCCCCGAAAATGTGGAGAAGCAGCTGGCCACCGAGTTCCGGCTGCTACAGGACAACGCCGACAAGTTCCAGCACAACA